AAGGACTTTATCTTGCTGGAGTTTAGTGCTGTTTCTAAATCATGTTACTTTCTACCAGGTGTCTGTTAGATCACAACACTGGAGTAGAGAGCACTATGAATTGTTCTTCATGCGAACAGGAACTGAAATTTAAAACTGTTCAAAGAAAAGACTCAAACTATAGCACAGATATAATACACTACGCATCAATATCTCTTCCCTTTGTGCTTTAAACTTTTCTATGCAGAGCGCTGCACACTGTGACTCCATGTTGCTTCAAGTGCATCATTCTGCGCATGGGATGCGCATAAGCGCTTTGTGCCGCTCTGTATTGGAGCCTTTCATATTATAGTACTTTTGCGTAATGAAAAATTAATAGCCTTTCTTGTTCTGTCCTATTTATTATATGTAGCTGCCTGATTACTGTGCTATACTTTAAAAAAAATCTTTTAATTTTATAGTATATATTTATATAGAAATATATTTACTTGTTTTTCATGAATGTATTTTACAACAATACAAAGAGCAATGTGTAACATTTTACCAGATTTAGTCCTACACTTATTCACTTTTATTTGTTCCCCACTAAATAATGTTTTTTCACTACGTGTTTAGATTTTATACAATTATTGTGCACTCGTGTTTTTTTTTTGTAGAGTAACTTTTGCTGCTGAATTATCCACTAACCTAGTTTATAATAGTATTTTTATTATAGATTATGATTATATATTTTTTATTTGTTATTTTTCTTTATAATGCAGTTGTCTATATTTAGTAGATTGTGTTTAACAGACAAAAGAGTGATGATCAGATGATCACAGAGGTATAAAAATTCTACATCGGTTTAAAAAAAAAATTGTGCTATAGTATGGGATTGGTATCAGTATACTCTGTATACAGTATACAATGAAAAAATTGCTAACGTGTTTTAGAATGTTGCTAGTAGGGCTGTGCAAAAAATAGAATCTGACAAGCTACACAAAATTGCGTTCATAATTGGCAATGAATCACCTGCGATTTTGAATGTGATTTTGCGTAGCTTGTCAGTGAACTATGGCTCTGTGTAGTAAATGCCGCTCCATCTGAAAGCACGTGCTGGAGATTTACTACTGTAATCGGCTTTACTTCGCGGTACCAGAAGCGGCTTTACTGACGAGATGCGCATGAAAATCGCATTCGATTTTTTGCACAGCCCTAGTTGCTAGCTTGTTTTGAAATTTGGTGGTCATAGCTTGAAAGCTCTAGGTTACTGCTAGAAATGAATAATAGAGCAGAATGTTCAGTAGATCAATAAATTCACACTGCACAGACAGACACCGACAAACGGCAACAGAAACTTTATTCGGGTTTTTGTCAGATCAGTGTGTTACTACCCTTGTCGGCATGGTCGGGGCTAGTGATGGAGAGTCGACTCCAAAAGAGTTGATTCCTTGACTCTGAATAGTTCTATAGTCGGGGTTGACTCCAGCACAGGAATTGACTCTCGTTGTCAAGTCTGTTACTGTGTTCAAAATCGCTCACTTTTTCACTGATTCTTTAATCGCCATATAGTGCATTGGCAGTTGAGTGCACTATATCAGCAAGGAGTGAATGAAATCAAGGGAGGAATTTGAAAACTGTTGTATTATACACTGTGCATCAGAGACTCGGAGCTGTCACAGAAACAACTATTAGAAATAAATAACAGTCATAGTGACTTTAGTAATTATACATACCTCCGTGCCAGTTTGGTAATTTAATTGATGTTTATGATATTAATCCAATAAACATACATCTAATATTCCATGGTTAACCTCTGTGTTCATTAAACTAACCATAAGTGTACATTATTGTATTTTGTACATACTGTATTTATTTTTTATATATTTTAATGCTTTTTAAGACAATGATCATGTGTGTTTAGCTCCATCACCCGACTATTATAATCAGATGTGTTAATTAAAGAATATATTTTTTCACATTTAATTCTGACCTAATATCCGACCATGGCTGTTTCTCGTGACTTTTCCTTCAGTAAAATTAGGTATCGCAACAGCTCATGATGTTGATAATTTCAAGGTAATGTTATTGCTAAATTGGATTAATTTGGGCAGTCAGGCTAAAAGTGTGTTGTTTGAATAAAGCGGCATCATGTCAGGGGAAAAAAATTAAGTGTGTAATAACGACTGCAATCTTGTATTATTTTTGGCCCCTTTTTGATGTGAAGTAAATGGAGTTGATGAGTTGATTCTATCAACTCATATGGTGGGAGTTGAGAGTCGGCGTTGACTGATCTGAAATAGAACACCCTTAGTCAGAGCTTGTTTTTACCGATTGAATATGTTGAATTGGGTTTATCGGGTAGTGGAATGTCTGAGAAGTCATGTCCAGTAATATAGTGACTGTTTGCGTTGGTATGTGTCTGTCAGTGCAGCGTGAATTGACGTTAACATAGTCCATCCAGCCTTTCTTTCTAGTAAATACATTTTTTCAGGTTTGACCATTTTGATTTTAAAATCATTTTTTTACTTTTACCCTTTAAATTGTAAAATGTGTAAATGTCTGTTTTCAGGCAGAACATGGGGGCCTCAAATGAAAGCACATTATCTTTGTTTTTCCGATCACTGCTACCAAACTTCAACCTCCAGGTGAGTGGATGCATCACTGTATGTCCAAGCACACAATTTCCTTCAGTTTAAAAATATTTAGCGATAGAATTCAGATGGTGCTCATGGTCACAGATTAAATGTAAAAACGTGTGTAAAATGTAGGTGAGCCAGATTGTAGTTTAATATTCATCCCAAAGTGTGTCCAGTGTTTGGATAGAATGCTCGCCTTGGGTGGAAAAAAAGAGAGAAACATGATTCAGAAGAGTTAATGGTCCATGTATGTTTTACACATTTGATATCCTATCTGAAATGAGAATAATGAGAACTGGAAAGATGGCTTGTTTTCATTTTTTCTGTTTAGTTTAACAAACGAAAAATTAGGTTTCAGTTTTACAAATCAGTTTATGGCTTCCATATTTCGTTCATTCATGTGGGCGGCACTGAAATGTCCCTTTTTATCTGATTGGTAAAACCGGCAGAATAAGAGTCGTTACAGAACACTGCCAAGGCCTATATTAAAGGGGTCATATGATGCTGCTAAAAAGAACATTATTTTGTGTATTTGGTGTAATGAAATGTGTTTATGCGGTTTAAAGTTTAAAAAACACATTATTTTCCACATACTGTACATTATTGTAGTTACGCTTTCTTTCTTTGCGTGAACATTTGGGGGCTTTATGCAAATCTTCCCACATAGTGAGGTAGGTATGTGGGGGCGTGTTCGAACGAGCCGTTTTAGGTAGGTGTGGCTAACTCTTAACTTTTATAAAGAATATCTCTTTGGATTTGAGACTTTAGTCTTTGCAACTTTACAGATCTTCTTTATGCACCAAGAGCTTGTAACACTCTAAAGAGAAAGGAAAAAATGAAATCGCATCATATGACCCCTTTAATAAACTATTGTCGTGATGCAAACCGCCATTCACTGTTAACTACATTTGATGTTTTATTTATTATTTCTGTATCTAAGAACATTGCATAATTTTTGTAGTAAGTCATAACTGTTTTTCCATGTCCCACTAATAATGAAAATTATTTGGATAAAAGTAAAATGTTCAATGTAGTATAGGTAACAAGGAATATATTTAAAAATGAATAATACATATTGCCATGATAGCTTGATGTCCATAACAGTTCACATTCATCTTTTAAATGGGTCATGAATTGGGAAATCAAATTTTCCTTGATCACTTGACATATTAGAGGTCAAAAGGTAATATAAAGGCACTATTAAAAACATACTGTAAGTTAACTTTCTTGTTCGTCTAAAAACAGCTTATATTGAAGCCAAGCTGCCAGAACGACTCGTTTTGGAAATTCTCACATTATAACGTCATAGTGCAGCAAAAGATCAATGCCGATTTGCGTATGTAGTAGGTAAATAAAGATGCAAGATTTTCAGAGAGATTGAAATTAAAAGACGATGATGTGCCGACTATATTGGATCCAACAAGTGTGAGTAACAATGTTTTTATCATGTGTCAATATTACTTTGTCTGGTACAGATAGTTTTTAATGTGCTATTTATACGTTTTAAATGTGTTAACCTACATGAAACAGCATAATGTATCTTTTGTCAACAATAACTGTAGTGTAACAATCCCAAACGAGGGAGGAGGCCAACCAGTCCTTTACTGGACAAAATAATTTATATGGGCATCAATAGCCAAGAAGACACTCAACCACACAAAGTTTGTTAATACAAATATACAATTTATACAGTCATATCCATATTAAAATCCCAAGTGAGAGAGCAGCAGGTTAAAGTAAACATAACATACAATTTGTACAATTTATCCGGGAATGTATTTGAGATTGGTGACGGTCCACAATAAGGTAACTTAGGACAAAAGGGGGGCATCAATGAGCAGGTTAATGTAGTAAGCACAGTGTCTCAAAGGTAATTCATATATTAAAATGAGTTAATATGACCACCCAACATGCACAAATCCGGTTCGAAATTGTTCATAGAGTAGCTCATCCGATCTGGACCTGTTCATGAAGCAACTCATCCGGCCTGGATCCGATCTGGACCAGTTCATTAAGTGGGTCGATACCTTTTTCAAAATGGGTCATCTAGCCAAATCTAGCTATAGAAATATTTAAAATAGAGCTGACAAACATTATATAGACTAGATTGCTCTAAAAGCTTGAATGGAACATTAATATTAATAAAACATGAAATCATTCAAAACTTGAAAAAAAATCTAAACTGATCCTTTTAAGCCAGCAACAATGAAACACTCTATAAAAAAAGTAGGTAAGTACAGAATGTAAATACATTGAATAGGTTTTACAGGAAAAGGCAAACATAAATTGTACCAAAAACATTGTTTTATTTAATGAAACACTTTAGCTCTAAAAAAAGACAATAGTAATTATTTAGTGTTGGTTCAGTTCAATAACTTTGTAAAGTTAATTTTTACAAATAAAAGTAGTTCAGTTCAGCTATAAGAAATTATACAGCAGACAAAAGTTTCATTTATGCACTTTGAGTCAGCTTAATGTTGATTTAAAGGGTTAGTTCACCCAAAAATTAAAATTAGCTTGTGTCTGTAACGAGTTAGTCCACTGAAGGCGAGCGTAGTGAAGAACCCAAGTGCAGTTTATTCAAAACAAGGTGAAATCCAAACATCCAAACATAATCCAAACAGACGAAGACTAGAGACACAGACTTGACTTGACGAGGTATGAACAGACTTGACTAGGCATGAACAGACTTGACGAGGCATAACAGACTAGACTCACCGACAGCGGGTTACACCATCAATACACGACCAGGCACAATGGGAACATGATGGCTACTTATAGCAGACAAGGAGGGTCACATGACATGAACAAACCAATGGGGAACAAGACACATGACTAAGACTACCAATCAGAACATGACACATACACAAGGCAGAGATACATGAGGGCAAGGGAAGCATGACACTAACAGGGTGAAACAGTTACAAAATAAAAGACATGAAAACATGAACAAAGGCCTCCTGTAGTGAATCCATGCAGTTTTGTTAAAAAAATCCATATTTCGAAAGTAATAAACACTTTTCTCTTCCGTTATCTGTCATACGCGGAAGCCGTTCCCGCGGATGACGTAAGACGTCGGCGTTGCGTGATTAGTGACGAATGCGGAGAGAGAACAAAACAAAACGCCGGTCATGAATTAGAAGTACAAACCGAGGATTTGCAAATGTCGGAGGATTTCGATATAAACCAAGAGGAGACTGATTTTCCTTTGCTAAAGTAAGGAAACTTTGCTTCCTTTTG